AAAAAGAGATTGGCTATTGCAATAAAACACTGTTAAATTAAATTGGCCATGTTCGAGAATTCCTCGAATAACATAATAATATACTTTTTGATTTCAGAAATATACCCATGGCAATTTCGTTATTTTAAAAATTCTCAGTTTAGAGCTCCGGGATAACCGGGACTGGTCGACTGTGCTGATATCTGTCCGATACACCCGTATAAATACGGCGTACACACAGAGAATTCGCATTTACCGCCACCCTGGTGGCCGAAGGCGGACAACCGACGTTTTTGCTGAAACCGCTACGCTGCGCTAGAGATGTCTACAAATGATCTGTGCAAACATTTTTTTTAATTTATAATTGTAATAAAATATTTACGAGCTAACGCCGGCACATTTTGTTTCTGCTTCGTTAAACGGTTCCGGCTTTTTTTTTTTTGCTTTCGGCGTACCGTGGATAATATAATTTTAACTTCGGACGCGTGTGGCGTTGTTAATACGATTATATTTTATCTGATTCTTTTCATCACGTGTTAATTATATACCTCCTAATACTTATAATGATGAATAAATTACATTTTTACTAATATATATTAAGTATTGAGCATAGCGACGAACGATATTGGTTTTACCGTTATGTTTCCCCCCCCCCTTTTTTTCGAAACCTTGTTAATTTCCAAATTTTTGTAATGATATTACGCCTCGAATTTTAATTCCCTAGGTACATTCTTAAAATAATATTTGTAAGAATTATGTTATAGTGGTCGGAAGCGGTTTTCCAAAATGTATCCAATTTTCAAAAATTTTAAAATTATTTTTTATTTTTGAATGATAAAATTTGCCCATTGATCTGTTGCCGATACCCATTTAAGAGGAAAGGTAGTAGAACGAGATAGAGGAAGAGGACGGTTTTTTTTTTTTTCAAACGAATTTCCATAACGTTTTATCAGCGCCTGAAATGGACAATTTTACGTACAGGAACGCTTACGAAATTAATGTCATGTAATGGCTAATAATACCGAGAAACAATTTTATTTTATTTTTTTTTTTTTTCGCTCTTAAATCAGTTTTAATCAGTAGCGGATTTTCGACATTTTTCCGGAAGGAGTCCCGAAAAATCTTTATTAATAGACGCCTCTCTTTTGGACGACATTTTATTGAAACGATATCAGTGTCTGAGAGAAGGGGCGTCCAGTGTGTTGGGACCCCCTCCATAAATTTGCCATTGGTTTTAACGATACACAAATGAGGTGTAAGTGTTTTTCAATAAACCTAATGGTATAAACGCAAGGGTTTCACACTCTTCCGATCAGAATTATCAGACGCAGAGTTCTCGAGTGCGGATGTAAAATTAAAATAATGTGCGTTATCCGCACACAACGCCGTCATAGCCGCGGTCTGCCGTCGTGCTATAACGGAGCGGGCGCGATAATTTTTGTTCGGCACCGCGGTTACGCGGTCGCCCGTTTTTCAACGCCGCGGTGCCGCGCTCGACTCGAAACAACACGTCGCCGCGCGCGCGCGCGTATTCGTACGTCGGTCGCGTTTTTTAAACGAAACGGCGTCGAAAAAAAATGTTTCGTTCCGACCCGGGATCCGTTTGGCGTGTCGGCGCGACGCGTTGCGATACGGCCGCGGACGCGCGTGCGTTTTTCCGTTCGAATTCGAACCCGAAACACGCGCCTCCGGCCTGACCGCAGCGCGCGGCACGCGAGACGAACGGCGGCCGGCGACGGTTCGCCGGCCGTCACGAAACGCTAATCCCCGGCGTTCGCGCGGTGTTATTTTAACGCGGACGCGGAAAAACTGCGCCCACCACGCGCGCGCCGTGAAAATTGCGACGGCGTTTCGTAGCGTTTCCAAACGCTGACGGAATACCGTCAATTTCGATCGATTATCCCGCTAACTGTCCGCGCCGCGCTTCGGATAATTAACGGGAATTTCATCCTCGCGACAATTTAAAACCGTGTCGTTCGCGAATCCAACGTCCGTCTAAATGTTCCGTTCAAAAAGGCACCGTGGCGCCCGTCGCGTATGTTTTATTGCCGGTTTTCGCCCCTTAAACGCACGCCGGTCGACCGTCTAATCCCGCAGTTTATTGAAGCGCCCGCGACGGCCCGTTTACGGTTATCGTTGCCGACGGAGCACGGTAATTCGGTTTATTACCGTGTTTAACCGGGCCATAAATGTCACAGCGATTGTATCGCAAATATATTCATCAATACCGCGAAATAATGTTCGACGTTCGCACGTTGTTTTTAATATACTTGCACCATGCCATGCATACTGTTTACACTTACTCGCGTATTTTCTGCAATTTTCGAAATAGCGGACCGTTACGCGATCTGGATAACGTACTCAATTGCACATCGATTGGAAATTGTAACAGTGTAACGGACGGTTACTTATAGTGTTACAGTGGTCACCGTTTGTGTTCTACGGCGTTGTTGTCAGACAATTTGTGCACGGTCGTGTAACACAAGAAACGCGTGTGTTTTGGGAGGGGGGCACCCGGTACGTCAGCGTGAACGATTTCGAATCTAAAAACCGCGTGTCGAAAAAACGAGCGTAATTCCGATACATTGTTTTATTCTTGTAAATAATTTGCTTGAATTGAATTTACCATTAAACTATTTAATCACGATCCGTAAGCAACAATAAATTATTGCTAACGTAAAAGGATTCGGAGCGAAGTTCGGTTACATATGTTTAAAAAAGCCGTAATATTTACGGTTTTCGTCGACATTCGATACTACTTTTATTATATGAAATTAAAAAAATAACACGTTAAATTCAATTTTATGGTTTTAAGAACCAAGTGTAACTTATAATAAACCTCCGATTAAATTTCAATGCATTTCTGTGTGTTTTAGCAATTATATCCGCCTAATGCAATGCGTACAAAATAAAAACTACATAGAAAACTTGCAACATTAAAATGTCTAAAAGCGTCTAAAAAAAAAAAAAAAAAAAATGATTTAAATATTTTGAAAATGTAATCTCGTCTAGAAAAGGTAAACACAAGTTCTCTGTCAACATTTTGAGTGTCCCTACGAATACTGTGAACTGAAACGCAGCAAAAAACAAAAATGAAAATAATAAAAATATCGTTTTCGTTAATTTTCCAGTTCTGTCTATGTTTTTTTTTTCGGTTTTGCTCAATTATTAAATAAACTACAGCGAAAACAAAATAACGACTTTCATACTCACCAACTAGATTGGAAATGCGATAAAAAAATAGATTATCATTTTTTACAAAAGCAAGTTTATAGTAGAAAATATAAGTTACAAAAATGTAATATCATGAATTCGTTACGTCGTAAATATTTGTTCGTTTATTCCAACGTTTTACTCGGTTATTTACAAATATTATGAAAACCGCTTGGAAAATCAACAAAAATCACTTCCCTAATATCATTCTCAATCGCATCTAACAACTTTTTCAGCCTTTTTCTCCAACTTTTTCAGATTCCTCTCTCCCCATGATATGCTTAAACCATTTCAGCTAATCTATATTTTCTCTCATTTTGTCTACTATGAAATCTACGACTGAACTACTACTTATCTATTCATTCCTTATCATATATTCTATCGTATTTCCATTTTCCACTTACCGTCTAATCGTGTTCATCTCTGTCACACTCATTCACTGTTATTCGTCGCTTAATATTCCGAACCCCACAACATAGTTGGTTTGATTTCACACTTGTATAACTTATTTTTTATTGTAACCTCATAAAAAAAGTCTCACCGACACTTGAAACACCCGATGCTTCCCTCCACTTTATCTTATAACACTTAATCTTGTGTTTTCCATCCTCGTGAAAATTAACATTATATTGTACAAAACATTCTAGGTACTTAAAACTCTCACCAACTTCACATGTTACCGCTTACTATCGTAAGTTATCTTTTCCTGTTCCACCAAACTCATATTCTGTTTTACTTCTATTTATCCTTAGTCCCTTTCCTTTAAGTACTACAATCCACTCGTCAAGCTTATTGTTAAAATATTTCAGATTTCCTCGTAGCAATGTAGTAAAAAGAGAGAAAACATTATTGTTTTTTCTCTTGTTATGATTAATTATAATTTATAACACATAATATGCCGAAGTGGATTTTATTGAAATTATTATTGGGAACCTTGTATTTTAATCATTTTACGTTGATTCATAATATTGTTTCCATAATTTATTTCCTAAATAAATTGTATTAATTATTTATAACATAAAAAAATGACTTACATTTTACAGTATATCATTTGTACAATTTATTTAAATAGGTTTGTTATATTATAATTTATTAGTTAATGGAACAGAAAATTTAAAATTATATACGGTTAGGTATACGATGTATTACATAACTGTACACACTGTGTTGCATTTCTAATACATTTTTACTTTGTAGGTTGCACAAATTAATTGATTTATTATTATTCGTTCGATAGTTTTAATTAGAGAAATTTTCGTCTTTTTATCCAGTTTAAAATCTGTCAATCTGAGTCGATTTTACACACATGTTCTTATATTCTTATTCATTCTTATGCATTATTTATAATATAATTTTTTTATTGAAAATATACCAATTTATTTTAATTTTTTTGGGAAATATCTTTTTGTGTTTTCTTCCCGATAAGCTGACCTCACTCGAAATTTATTTTTTTTCAACATTCATCATGTTTACAGAATATTACGCTTTCGTCAATTTTTTCTATTGAAATATAATTTTTATCCGACCTAGTTTAGTTAAAATATATTTCTAGTTAATGTCGTCATTAGTACATTATAACTGTAACTTCTTCTTCTTCATTAATATCATAATTCTTCAAGAGTTTTTGCTACCACCGACACCTCCTTCCACTCTTCTCTATTTTGTACTTTTTCTTCCCAATCCGGTATCCCTAGTTTCTCTAAATCCTGCCTTATTTCTGTAATCGTCCTAGTAAATCTTTGAAAACACCTTATGTGTCGTGTTCAGCAGAGATATTTTTCTGTAGTTATTACAGTTAAGCTTGTCACCTTTCTTGTGTAGTGGTATGACAATGGCCTTATTCCATTTTTCTGGAAGTTTCTTATCTTCCCATATTTTTTGACATAACTCATATATCGCTTGATATATATATAGTCTTTCTCCGCCATATTTTATTGGTTCAGCCGGTATACCATCCGTTCCAGGCGCTTTCCAATTTTTCAGACTGTTGATAGCTTTTTTAACTTCTACATGAATACCACTTTTACCTTCTGCTCCGCCCTTTGTTTGTGTTTTTTAATCTTCACGAAAAAGTTCCGTGTTCTATCTTGTGTATGGTCCTGTTCTGTCTCATGCAGTAGTTCATTCATGTAGTTTCTTTTTTCTTTCTACATGATCCGTTTACATGCTTTCCGTTCTGCTTCATAATTTTCTTCGCTTAACGGGATCTCAAGCTGGAGGTACCTTTGGTGAGCTTCACTTCTTTTTCATACGGCCTTTCTACTATCACTATTAAACCATTTATTCTCTCGTGTTTTTGGTTCCCTAGTGTACTATATGCCACTTCGAGAATAGTATTTTTTATGATACTTTAGTTCACTTTTCTCTCATTTTCTTCTTGTCTTTTATTTACTTTATCTGTGATCTCAGTAGTATATTATGTCTTTTTTCTTCATTTTTTAGCCCTTCAATTTTAAATTTAGGTGTTTTTTAAAAATGCCTACTCGCTCTTTGAAGTTTGAGCCAAAACTTGCATAATACTAGGAAATGGTCCGTATCACAGTCAGCACTCCTGTAATTTCTTACATCTGTTATAATTAATCTATATCGTTTTGCAATCAATAAAATATGGTCGATTTGATTCATATTCGGTCCATTTGGAGACTTCCATTATAACTGTACCTATAAAATATAAATGTTTGATATAATTTTATATCTAATACAAATTTAAATCTGATAGAATTTTTGCGAATCTCTTAATTTCAAAGATTCATAATAAAAAATAATATATAAATATACAATAAATGTTATATATTCTGATTGAAACGAGAAATATATTGCTTTTACTATGATGAATGTGAGTAAATTATTTTTTTTTCTGTCTCTGAGTCACTTTTCTATCAGAAATCTTGCTCCAATAAAAACATAACCTGTTTTTGTGAATGTCGGATTTATTGGATTAGTAAGAAAATCATATTTTGAACTTTCTAACCAGTTTTCAGATAATTGGAAAACCCAAAAAAAGAAATAAAGACTATAGAATAAAAACATAGAAAACAAAAACTGACAAGTTAACGGCATTAACAATGTCAGTATTTCATTTTTTTTTTCTACCAAAAATATTGTCCCAATTTTATTTATAGATTCATAGAATTTGAGGAATCTATTGATTTAACAATTTTTTTTCCATAGTTTTTATAGAAATTTTACTAAAAATATTATTCCGATTTTTAAATGTAGAATCTTTTCTGACAGAAATTTTTTTTTGAGTGGTGCTTTAAAAAGGTTACTTTTTGATTTTCCAATTATTTTTTATAATAATTGAGAAAATCCGAGAAAAACGTGGAAACAATGAAAAGTTTACGAAAATAATGGTTTCATTATTTTTAATTTTGTTTTTCCATTACAATTCAATTAAAATTATTCGTAGATACATATTTTCATGACAGAATAAATTATATGTACATTTTATTGAATGTTGTAGTACTTTCAAAACATTTTGGCGATTTTTGAGCTATTTATAGGCGTTTTATATATGAATTTTTTGTTTTGTATGCATTATGTGGATATAATTATTGGCCATATAGAAAGGTGTAATGTAGTATTTTTTTTATAATTGTTTTAAAATTAAATTTTGAAGAAAATCTTAAATATTACGGCCTTACAAATCATGTATATGAAGGAATTTTACTCAGAAACGTTTTTTGATGGATATCGTTGCTTACAGATTAAATTGCGGTATGTATCTTGAATTTCCAACTCCCTACCTATATATGCAGTATTAGCTCTTTTTATAAAAAATTATAGAATTATTGTAAACAACCTAAATTTTAACTACAGTTAATGTTCAGCTTTGATGAAATACATACTAAAAAAAGAGAACTAATATTGAGGATGGGAGCGGCCATTGTTGTAGGTGGGACGTTGGGAAAGTATGATATATAAGGTTATTTCTTTTATATCTGTAAGCAAAGAAAAAACCATTGCTGACGAAAGACGTTTCCGAGCGCAGTTCGGTAGTACATAATTTGAAGTGTCGTCATTTCTTTTGCAAAATTGATTTTAAAACGCTTATTAAAAAAAAAAAAGTAATTCCGATGATTTTGGAAATTTTAAGTAATAATATAAATCAAAAAAGCAACAAAACAAATTGTCATGTGATTTTTTAATTAAATTATTTTTTCTGGTAGAAAACGTCGTCCGTGTTTTCATAAAATAATGAAATCGTGAAATTGTACGTTTTCCTATGTTTTTTCCCACCTTAATGATTTTATTAAAAAAATGACCTCTTTAAAGTACCATCTAGACAAATTGAGCTCTCAGAAAAGTAACTACACGTAAAAATCAGTGTCAATATACTAGGAAAAAACGTGTCCACAGACTAGAAGAAAAAACAAAAAAAGAAATCAACAACCTAATAAAACCAATAGCTCTCTCGCTACGCCTCGGAATCTAAAAGAATATTGTTCATATGGGTAATCAGTGGATTCACTGTTGTATGTGGGTAGGTAAATTAGGTCCACGAAAATTTGTGTACATTTTGAAAGTGGTAAATTTAGTCCTGAGTATTTTCCAGAATGATAAAATACCTAACGAAATGTAAAGTTCTTGAAATAAGTGAAAAATAATGGTTGCGGTAAATCTTCCTAAGATTTCTTACAGTTCCCTAAAACGGTAACTTCCAGTTATTTCACTGACAAGTCGCATTTATTCCGCCAGCCTTTTCTGTTTGCTTGTATCCAAAATCCAAAATCGCGGAGAGTAAACCTCCGACTAATATGCCTACTTTCCCGAAATGTCCAATGCCTCCATATTTTCTTTCAAGTTACACAAAATTATTACATCTATAAGATGTTATTATTATCTTTGGAAGAAAAAAAAAATCACTATAAAAAATCACTAAAGTGCTTTAGCACTTAACGGTTTTTGAAAATTATTATAATGTCTTGATTTCAATCAAGACATTATAATAATCTACCGTTTATAGTAGTTTACTTTTACATTATATATTTGAGTAGACTTTGGCTAACCCGCGATTTTTTTGGGTTTTTTTTTTTTTAAATGTGTGTTTTTATGTGTTCATTAAGAATGTAAAAAACAAATTTGGACGAACTTCGTTTGGAAATTACGGTGGAAAACTTCATGAAGTTCGGGTTTTTCGTTTCACGGGTATTTCTTAGTTAGAATTTAACGTTTTCAATTTTTTTTTGACTGATCCGATTGGCAGGACCCATTTAGACCAATTTTCCGAAAACACAATCCATTTCGACAAATTTTTAAGACCCGTTTAGGCTAAAAAATACTATTTTTAAATAGTTCTGACCAGAATTTTCCTTATATTAGTTTTACTAAATGTTTATTAAGCGAGTCTTTATAAAGTAGTATTTTATCTGTGTTGTCTTATCGCACATGAGACCTTGATACACAGATATCTATTGTATTCAAATAATATATTTAGGTATATATTTAATATGACTAGAATTTTTTGCATGTTTTAAAACTAAATTAATACATAGAAATTGTTTATAAACTTACTTAAGTTTACTTATTACTTCATTAGAAAATTGGTTTTCGTAATTTAACTGAACATTTATCTAGCGGTTTTTTATAGAAATTTAAAAGTATTAGTCCAAACGGGTTCAGTAAATCCTGGTCCAAACGGGTTGCAGTTTTATTAGTGGTCCAAACGTTCCTGGTCCAAACGTGCTTCGCCCGGTCCGGTTAAGTCTTTGCAACCCCAAATCGCGAAGAGCTCTACGGTACACGTTTACTTTTAATATTGCACATTAGCTAAGTACCTATGTATAGAAGATAAGTATAAGTTTACTGACCGAATAAATCACTGGTGGCAGGTCCAAACAATAGCGACAAGCCAATGTAAAAAAACATATCCACCGTCGTCGAATGACATTTTACCGGCTCCGAGACGAACGTTCGGCACCTCCAAAAGGTTGAAAACAGCACGGACAACTGCTACCGTGTCCGGAGGTCAACAGCTGCAGACGGCCGTGATGAATACAATTTTTTCTAACTGTCCAGTTGTTCGGAGAACCAATCGCACGTTCCGAACGCAGCACATTGGGTTGCTTATGGCGGAGCATTTATCGAAGTATTCTTTCTGCAAAACTTTTAACCGAGCTACGCTCAGAATAGTTTTTGTTGTCAATGCTTAAATTTTCTTAGGTACAGATATACATTAAATATCTTACCTTCCCAACCCAACCTAACTTCTCATCTATAACAGTGGCCCACCTATCAATCATTAATATTAAATTTAATTATTTCGCCTCTCCCTCAATAATCAAGGTCTGAAGACGCCCCTGATTCTTTATACTCTGAATCGCGTATAGAAAACAATTATTATTATTTGCATAAACGACACGTTTCGGACGGTGTAAGTCTAATACTGTCTGTCTTTTTGAATTTCAAATTCTCGATAATTTTGTCAATCTGAAAATGTTTTATCTGCATGTAAATGGAAAAATATCTAGTAAATACATGGAGTGTCGGAATTTTTAAAATTCCTTTCAAATTTGAACTTCAACTACTTGCAAAAAAATAAAAATAAAAAAGCAAGACATTTTACGCGAAGATTTTTTTTAATGAATAAGCATAATATTCAATAAAAAATTAAAAAATAGATTTTTGTTGTAAATTTTGCTTATTTTTGTTAAACAATAATAGGCGAATTTATATACTCATTTTTAGAGGTTATAATTTTTCCTCCGAAGAAATTAAAAAAAAAAAATCTAAATTTTAAATAAAAACTAAGAAAATTATTACATTTCCTGCGTTTAATTTAATTAAAGGATAGGTACCTATAACTATGCATTGGTCTGTACAATTACTAGGTGTAACTCCGGCACCGCACGTTCTTCCAAAATGTAAGCACTGAATTAATGTATATTATGTAGGTACATACAACATGATGTATTCGTAATCAATATATTAAGAAAATCCATTATTTATGAACATTGTACTGTTACGGCTTGGATCACGATGAGATGTTATGAAATTGATTAGAATTTAATCTACACGTCGTCGATAAACGTAAACCGTGTTTCAATTTAATACCGATTTCCAACGACAGTATTGCAATTATATACGAAAACATAGGAAAGCAATTACTGTTGAGATTTGTTCATTAGGCGGACAATAAAGGTTTACGCAAATTTGCATAAATATTTGAATACAAACACGTATGTATTCTTTGGACATTGGACGACACAGGTACACCTGCGAGTATATGTACGCGTTTTATTTTAATAAACGCTGTCCACCGATTATGCGTGTACAATAATATTATTTATAAGATAAACATAATACGGTATGCCATAAACTATTCTATGACAATAAATATTGATGGCGGATTCGTATTAAAATAATAATAATAATTATGAAAATTACAACGAGGGAATACGAATAAAGGAATCGTTAAAATATAAAAGTTGGCTGAGAAGACTATATTATAACAGATTTAGTATTATGGAATAAAGAAAATAATATAGCAAGTATGGCGTATTTAGACCACTTATTGAAATGTTTGTTGAACAAACTATAATTTACGGATATTTTATTTATTTCAAATGTTATACGCACAACATGTTATTATAAATTAAAAAACTGTTAAAAATTTTAATTTGTTCATCGAAGAAAAACAGTTTTCGCT